AATGATAGGATATATGAAACGCACAGAATAAAAATCAAAATCACCCCATTATGTGTTTTTTTTTTTGTTAAGTCATTCAGAATCCTGTAGTTTAGAGCAAAAAATGTGATCAATCATCTACTACTACTTGGTTTATAAACTGATGCACTTTTCTTCTAACGAGAGACAGAAGAGATGCTGCTTTGACATACACAGCATCAAGTGCTAATGGTCATTCCCTTCAGTAAATTAAAAAAAAACCTACAGAATCAAAATCAAAGCATTGACAAAATTAGAGAATTCTGAAAGAATGAAATTATATCTTGTTCAGAAGGTTTTATTTAGCTATGTAACACACATATAATAAGCCCAAATATACATTTTTTTTCAATTAGTATCATCTGGAAAATTATATGGCTTAATACCTCTGCTCCCACATGGTACAACTAACTAAACACAAAATACCAAAACACAGAAGGCCCTTTACTCTGCATGGTGTCATGCCCTCCGTAGAGCTGTTTTTGAAGAGCAATACTGGAAGATTCCTTACTCAGAAAGGCGACACCTTTGGGACTCTGGACACACAAAAACTACAGAGCATGTACTTCTCCAGTGCCTGCACTACAGAGATGTTCATACGCCTCATCTCACCACAAATACATAAGTATCCAAGGTGCACAAAACAATTTTATTTTTTGTTGATTTCAGACACCAGCCCTACCACAACATGCAGTATTGCCAGGCTCTGTGCAGCGGTGCTCAAAATTTGTCCAATGATGGTCCATACCTGAATCTCAACTTTATAAATTAGATTCATGCTTTGAAACTTGATATAGTTTTCCATAAAAGTTGCAGGTTTTTATGTTCCCCTATACCAGTGATGGCTAACCTTTTCAGCTTGGTGTGTCGAAAATCGGGAAAAAGTGTAGCCTTCCTCGGGTCGTGTGTCACTTCAAGAAATATCAATAATTTGGTTTATGATGGACTGGGCTGGGGTGATCACACAGGGCTGTGAAACTCGTCTCCCTGGTCTCAGGGCTGCAGGTGCAGGATGTGGGGATCGGAAGGCCACCTTACAGGGCTGTGAACCTCATGGATCTCCTTTCCTCCTGTAGTGTTCCTGAGGTAATAAAACTGACAAACCTGTTTATAGTGGTTAAAACTGGTTCTCTGCTGCAAAGATCTCGCGGCAGCGGTGACACCATGGCTCCACGCAACAAGCAGGGATTGGAGCAGAGCACAGGCAGCCTCTAAATGTGCAGGTTTTCCCCACACCAACAGGCGTGTCAGTCAAAGTGCCTTGGCGTGTCACGAGTGACACACGTGACATAGGTTAGCCATCACTGCCCTATACCCATCTAAAGCTCCTACCCCTTGTTTTAGATTCTCATTTTTGTATATACTTTTAATGTGTATTACGTGTGTATATTACATTTGTGTGTGTGTGTATAAATATAATATTATATATAATTTTTGTATGCACATATGTGTATGTGTGTATAACATTTTTGTATGTGTGTATGTATGTATATATGTATATATATATATGTGTATGTATGTGTGTGTGTGTGTGTATATATATATACACAGAGCTTCTCACTCTGAGAAGCAAGAGCTGAAGACAGAAGCCTGAAGATGATGAATGAGACTTCATCGAAACGTTGCCTTAGATACTTTGAATCTTACGCCGGAGAAAACCCGAACAACCAAAGATCCACATACAAATACCCACAAGAACCTCAGAAAACATATATATATATATATATACACACACACACACACATACATACATACATACATACATACATACATTTCATTCATGATCTATATTTTTGGACTTCATACTTCTTTTTAATTACTTACCGATTATGTTGGTCTATAACTATAATAAAGATTTGATTTGATATGGCCTAACAACTGTTTTGTGTTTACATAATTGCCACTTATCTTTATGCAGCAACTATCCTCAACTAGTAACTAGATAGGCATTATGATAATTGTATAATACATTTGGAGAGGACAGGGTGAAAAAGACCTCAAAACAATCATAGATGACATCTTATTTAGATATTAAAGAAATCCAAGGTAGTTATTAAGAATTACGACAAGGAGCATGGGCTTGAAAATGTATCCAGCTGGTCAACTTCAGAATAAATTGTTGTTCTTGCACAGTCAAGCTCACATTTATGTTCAAAACATATTGGAAATGTTTTGATGGCAACTCATGTCTCTCTTTTGCAGCTCTAACCATTCAGAGACATGGCTGCGTTTCCAATATTATTCTGAACGTAAGACACACATTTCTATGTAATTCTTATATAAGAACCTACAGAATCAACCCTCGTTTATAGGTCCAATGAGCTGGAAGTAGTAATTTTGCCTGCTGTTAACTTGTCAAACTGAAAAGGAACAATGCAATTAAATGGAAATCATTGCTTGATATTCTGTCTGTCTGAAAAGCCAGTTTAATCTTACTTCTAAAACAATCCTGATTCTATCCCATTCTGCTGAACTACATCTCTCACAGACTCATTTGTGAAATGACAACAAAATAGTATTTGTGATAACTAGAATACTTTGTACGGATAAAATACATGATTTGTAGAGAAAATCCCTTTCCTTTAAATATGGGATGTTTCAGACACAAAACAGTGAAGGGGAAGATTTTTTGTTGGCCAAGGAGGATACAATGACTGCTTTGCAAAGAATTTTAGTTGGAAGGATTTAAATGCTTTTATTCTTAGCCCAGCTGATAGCAAAATAGTTATGTTGAACTATTCTACATAATGTAGAATGTAAATATTTTAGCCTGTAACAAATTGCAAAATTGTTAATAAGGCAACCATGTGATAACTAATAAGCTTGTCCATGATCTATTTTGCATCTTAGCTTTTCAGAAGATGAAGAAGAAATATCAAATATCAAGAGGGCAACAAGTGTACTGTTACAGATCAAAAATACCAAGAGACCATCTAATTATAATTATATCCCTTGAAGAGGCTGAAAATATAAACAAATGTTACGTATACAGGTTTAAAAAGGGTATGTAATCTACATTCTATACAACTGAACATATGGCTCATATCTCCATTGTGTACCTAGTCTCAACCTGCCCTTAATTAAGAGGAGGAAAAGATATCTTTACCTGTTCAGAAACTGAGATAATATGCAGAGCACACATCTATCTTTTTTACAATGACTTTTTACTTTTCTCTACCATAGAACAAAGATTTTAGGTAACATTTCAAGAGGTGTTAAGGCCAACAACATTTTCATAAATTTATGGGGCTGCTAGATATCCTTTAATCATTTCACAATTTCTTGGAATCATAAATGTATTTAAAAAAAAATAAACATTCCCTGCGAAAAAAAAACTTTGTACGGCTGCATAAAAGCTACACTGGCATGCACATGGTAGAAAGGATGTAAGATTCAAGAAGTACCGATCCTGAAAAAGATCCATTCAAAAGCATTGCAAGAACATTTTTTGATGTAAACGAGATGAGATTGTAAAAGAAATGAAAATAACTTAGCTAGTGCAGTGTCACTCAATTCTACTTATTAAACCTGGCCAGAAAGTATCTCCCAATGTACAACCAGTCCAAAAAACATCAACAAGTAGAAGACTATATAATGGTGAAAATGAGGGGCACTGGAGAGTTCCAGATTTAAGTCTACCTTTAACCACTGAAACTCTCTGGGACCTTCAGCCAGTCACGGTCAGCCCAATTTACCTCAGAGGATTGTTTGCGTGGGAAAAATGAAGAAGAGTGCTACGTTTATCTTAAGCTCCTAAACCAAAGTGGGATATAATGCAAATACAGAGATAAAGGCCAAAATAAAAATGAATAAATAGCTCTTCATGAAAACAGTTTACAGATTAATGAAAACTTCACAAATATTGCAAAAATTACATGACTCAGAAACCAGCAGCACATCATAATCCCCTTATATAAGGCTACATTATGACAACACTTGGAGCCTATTGATCATTTTGATTTTTATATATAAAAAGGAATAATAGAGAGCCCAAAAATGTGTAAAAAAAGGCAACTAATATGATCAGGAGGATGGAGTAAATGACTGCAACACAAGGAGCTTTTTAAAGCTGAAAAAGATAAATGGAAAATGACAAGAGACTTACAGAAGTTGATAGATTTTTTTCCCCAGTCTTAACTTTTTATGAATTAAGATGAATCAGTGCATTAAGAATAAATCTAAACCTTATTCTTAGTGCACTGATTCATCTAACATTTGTACATATACCAAAATTAGAGGTGGAACCCGTAACTGAAATGTGAGGTAATGATTGTCAATTTAAGTTGCTTAAAGATGAACTAAACGAGTTCCGGGAAAGCAATGCTGTCAATATCTATTAAACATGTAAACTATGCTTCTAAATACTTCCCAGAGATGGCTATGCTATTAGACAGCTGTTGCAGTGGTGTTCTGCTTGTCAATTTTTATAGTGAACACATTCGAATTAGATCCTGGGAAAAAATATTTCATCAAAAATGCAGGATTTTTCTTGCGCTACTTTTTGATCTGTTCCTTGCATACCACGTAGCTAGGCAAACAACCAACTGTCCCGTGAAAAGCAGCTTCAGCATTCGGCATGACCTTTTAAGAATTACATAGAGCCAAATCTATTATAAGAAAAGCAAACCAATGAAAACTCCCAAGTTAGCATATAAAAGTCAAAACCTATTACCACTTAGTTCTATCAATTTTATTAGCTTTTGTTGTTACATTATATATTTAATGTAATACAAAATTACATTAAATAACTCATAAAATAATAATGTTAATGTTTAGAAATTTTGAAAAATGTAAATGTATGTTATTTGTCTGAAATAACATATGTTAGTTATTTCAGACAAATACAAGGTTCCAATAATCTCTGGAAGTGCAAATTTGTAATAATGTAGGGTTGCAAATTCAGGCCCACATAAAGGTTGTACATATGTGTATGTTTCACTGATTGTTGTATGAAATAGGAAATCTGTCTACATCAAACTCACCTTCCCTACAAAGTCGCATCGCTTCTCGGTTTTTACCATACTCTTTAAAATTTTCTTCTAAAGCTGCTCCTGTGAGGATATAACAAACAAAAGAAAAATGTTAGTTTGTAGTTAGTTTTAGAGTGTCAGCTACATGGCAAATTATATTCTGATTAAATCCAAAACATTCAGTGCAACAGTGATATAAAATGAATTTGTCTTATGTCTGTCTCCCCACCTTACATAAAACGGTTTAAATTCACCTGATAGGAAAAAATTCTTAAGATACAAAAAGCATGTAATATATATTTTCCTTCCCTCTTTAAAAGTAAGTATTATAACAAACATAGATAACAGAAAGGATTTCATATGGTTTAGAAGTCAAATACTAAAAAAAAATCTGTTACAAAAATAATTTTATAAGAATTAAAAATTAACTTTCTGCATACAACTTTGCTTTGGAACAAAGAGACTTCTCTGCAGTGGCTCCTTAATTTTGAAATGCTTTCCTCTGAATATGAATTAGAGTGACATCCCTAGCCATTTCATTGCTAGATTCAAACATGTTGATTCAGGTATTTTAAAACTGATCTAGTGTTTATATGCTCCTTTTATCTATACCCTGACGGGGTGAATGGCCATAAATGGCCTAAAAATGTTAGTAGGCAATCATCATCATCTGGAAAGATGCTATCTTTCAAAACCTGACCCTGGACTTTAATACAACCATGAAATCAAATCAATACCCTCCATTTATTTAACAAGTGGCAGATTCACCTCATAGCTCCACTGTTTTTATTCTGAAAAGGACAGTTAGAATTCCTACTGTCAAACATTATATCACAAACTTCATGCTCAAATCCCATAAGCAACATAAATTTGAGGGGAGACAAGTTTATAAGGTGCATTCTCCAACTTCTCAGGGTTAAACTAAATCTACCGTTCGCTGAAGCCAAGATCAATGTGTGCTTATTTCAAAAACCTGCCAATGCAATAAAATGTTAGAATCTGCAGGGTGAAAAAAGCTAAAGATGGAAAGACCAACTCTGTAGGGCTCCTGAAAGTTCAACCCTTCACCAGTTCAATGGAAAATAGGCATTTGATCAGTTGTCCCACATGCTGGCATATTATTGTCAGCTATTGTCTTACCAATAGGTTTGCAGAGCAATTGTAGTATTGGCATGCCAGGTAATGCCTTCATGGGATGTGTGAGGCATAAAGAAAAGTTTCCTAAATATAATATATATTTTAGCAATACTTTGAACCTAGCAAGAGGCTTTGATTTCACAAGCTCAAAAAGTGGACATACCTCTTTGGTGCCAGAGTATATATGACAATAAGGGCAATTTGAAATGTTGCATGTTTGATGCAGGCTTGAGAGGAAAAGTTTTAGTTTCTACTCTCAATTCTCTTCCAAATAAAGTTTTGCAGGTTGGAGTTGCATTTTTGTTGTATGGCAAACTGCCTTATATATCTTCCTGGTAGTATATTTTGTGTAAGCTATTAGAAATTACATAACAGTTTTATGTAGCGTATTTTTAAATTATTATTATAATTTTGTCTCTTATTTTGGCTGCTTAAAGATGCGTACAATAGACATTATGTATTACATCATAACTTTATTCCTGGTGATCTGATACTTTCTAAGTCTGAAAAAATAGCTCACTCAGTATTTGGATGTATTAATACTTTCCAAACTTTAACTTTTACACACAAGTACGTCATGAAACATATCCAGAATATCATTTCTATCATAATAATGATTTACAGGATCACATTAACCTTCCTGCCATATTTACATTATCTTGTCTCATCTTCTTCTTCCTTGTAGCTAAGGAATAGCTAGGACACTTTTGCTTCCACTTTTAGTTGCACTTCTGAAGCAGGAACTATTAGTTAACATTAATAAGCTTACCTAGAAATCACTTTGATTTATTTTAAATTTAACTTGGGTGTTGTTTACAGTTTGTTGCTTCATTGAATGTGGCAAACTGCAGTTAACTAAAGTAAAAACAGGAGAACAGTGTAAACCCAAAGGACTGAGCTTGCTGATACCAAGTAACCCACAGTTAGCATAATGTTAAGCATAGCAAATCTAACATGAAAGTGGGAGAATCATCTGGTGGTCCACTGGCATCAGTATGTTGATGAAACTTATCCTGGGCCACACTCTGCTCTTGATGTCTTATTTTGGTGACTAAAGGCCAAAAAGATCTGGAGGGGCTAAAACTGAACCCTACCTAACAGAGTGTCTATTTGTCTATTGTGGTTCTCTGGCTACTCCAGTGATGCTTCTAGATATGGAAGCACTAGTCCTGAAAGGAAAGACCTGTGACTTTGGGGTCCTCCTGGACTCAAGACTCCTACTTGAACAGCAGTGGAGGCTGTGACGGGGACAGTTTTTGCTCAGCTTTGACTTGTGTGGCAACTGGACCTTACCTGAAGCAAGACATCTTGCTACAGTGACACAGGGTCTCATTACCATCTACTTAGATTACTTACAAAGCACTCTGCTTGGGACTCCCTTTAAAGACCACTCGGATGTCTTATTTTCTCCTTAAACGTAACAGCATGGGTATTATTTGGCACTTCCCGGTAGAAGTACGAACAGCTTTGGATCCTGTCCTGGCTTCCTACTGGCATTTGGTTGCCTTAAATTAAACTATTATTCAGTGTTGTCATATTGTGCGATCAAGGAAATGTGCCCTCTCGTTCATGATCCCCAACCTCTGGAGCAGCATTTCCTCAGAAAGAAGGGCAGCGTCCTCTCTCCTAGGGTTCTGGAAATCCCTTGGAACCTGGCTTTGGTTGAAACTCAGGGGCCTGGAATGGCCTCCCATTAGAGTTTAGTTTAACTCAGCTCCAATTTTTAACTGCCATCAGAAGGACTTGAAAATATCTGTTATTTGGATATAATATACGTTATAATATCACTGTATTTCAGAGGGCTCTGTTTGATTTGTATTGCTTTTAAGATTCTTTCAGTCTGGGACGTCTGTTTGTGGTTTTATGTCTCCCCCCATTTTATGGATATTTTTAGTCTTGTATGCAGCCCAGAGTCTACGGGTGTTGAACAGCTACAACAAATTTAAATAAATAAAATAACAAAACTTAAAGGGATGGTTGTATCCTATAAAGCTCTTTATATTTCATACTACATTATCTTCAGGAATGTGTTTAGAATTAGAATCAGGCTGACCAATTTTATCTCACCCAGAAGCAGCTAATGATTTCTCCCTTTCAGGAGATATGGGGGAAGGGGGAACTCAGGGGCCTGGAATGGCCTCCCATTAGAGTTTAGTTTAACTCAGCTCCAATTTTTAACTGCCATCAGAAGCACTTGAAAATATCTGTTATTTGGATATTTTGTCTTCAAGATTTTACTGTTTTAATACTGACTGTGGATGTCTTTGGTTGTCTATTTCTATGAAACCACTGGGAGTCCTGCAGAATGGTGATGGGCTATAAATCTTATGACTAAATAAAATCATGTCTGCTAATGTTATATTAAATACTCTTGGAGTCTCATTACACTGATTTCTACACAGAGCAAAGAAAGTCCTCTACTTTGTGTGATTTGAAGGAAGAGTACAGTAGACTTCTAAAATCCTCTGGAAACAAAAACTTGCATTATGGGATGTCATCATAATAGAAATAAAAACACCAAGAAATAGCCAATCGCTCTCTTGCTTGCCATGATAAATGAGTTGCGGGACTTAACCTGAAATCTAGCTTTATCATTTGCTTTAAGTGAACACCTCAAGAACAGAGAATGCCCTTATTATTTAAATATAAAATCTCCCTCCAGTGAATCTGAACTCCTGTTGCTTTCATACAAAAAACCCCTCCATGCTGTTTTCCTGGCAGGAACGTGAAGATGAATTACCACTGTCTTCTTCCAGGACTTCTCCCCCCCCAAAATAAATAAATAAATAAATTCCAAACTACCCCCGAGCTCTGGAATTTCCTGGTGGTCTCTCATCCCTGATCAGTCAAAGCACATGGGTTGGTGTTGTTTTTTGTGCTTTTGTTTTATAATCACCCAAGGTCAGCTAGGTACTGCCACCTTTCTGGGCAAGATTTACCTGAGTGACCTACCTATGTATGTATAAGCCTAAGGATACAGACAAGGTAGTGTGAGGTGGAGTAAGAGACATAAACAGGACCTTCTCGTCCAACTCTCTCTCTCTCTCTCGCTGCCCCCCACCCACCCACTCCCCACCTCTTACTCTGGGGCAGATTATCAGACCATTCGGCAGAAGAGCGTTTGGCGACCAGCTGTGTTAACCCTGTCGCTGCCGGGCAGAGCCCTCCCCTCCCCTCTCCCTCCCTGCCCTCCCCTCCCCCACGAAAAGAAGGGACTCCCTCGCTCGCTCACCATCGTTGCCGTGAAGTTTAGCAGCGTCGACCCAATGGCTCCAGGGCTGCCCCAGCATTGCCTCCGGGCTAGGCAAGGACCTGCGCTCCCCGACGGTCGCCATTGCTGCGCTGGTGGCGCTGGTTGCACTGGCGGGGATGGTGGTGGTGGCGGTGGCGGTGGTGGTGGTGGCGGGGCCGAGGCCGCTCTCGCCGCTGCTTCCTCCGTGCCGGGGCCGCCGCTGCTGCCTGCTGGCCGCCGCCGCCACCGCCGCTCTGCGTTGCTCCCCTCTGACGTCAGCCACGGCCCGCGCCGACATTCTTTCCGCTGCTACAATGTAACGAGAAAAGTCATCAGGCTTCTTTTAAGGTGGCGCAGCCGCTTAAGGAAGTTCCCAAAGAATCGCCCGCTCGCCGGAGCTCGGAATCGGGGCTGCCGCTTACAGGCACCGCGCCGGGGAGAACAACGCGAGGCCTCGCATCGCCTTTGTTTCCCATCAATCTCCCCGACAAGCCGGATCGGAGCTGTTGTCGGGCCCCCGCGTTGGCTCTCTCTCTCTCTCAGCTCGGGAAGGGCACCAGCATTTTTTTCTCCCCGCCCGCCCGCCGCGGCGCGCTTAAAGACAAGGAGGCAAGGCGATCCACGCTAAGGCGGCCGGAGGCATCGGAGATCCTGACTCGGCGCCCCCCACCCCCGGTCCCGGTCAAAGTGCTTCTCGGGAGCCCGCCGTCCAAATGCAAGGCGGACACGTCCCCCAGACGGCCATCCGGGGGAGCCAACAGCCCGGGCTCAAGCGTCCCTCTTCGCCCTCGCCCACATCGCACTTTCGCGCAGGCAGCCCCGAAGTCGCGAAACTCCACGGCGAAAGGAAGTTGTTTATTTTAGGCGTCTCGCAAAGTCCGGGCGCATCACTGCTTGCGCCCGCCTCTTTCCTCTCCTTTCGCAGGCGAGCAGGGTCTTAAAGGGACAAGAGGAACCACCTCGGGCTTCCTCTCCCAGCCAGCCAGCCAGCCAGCCTCCCTCCCCGCCCCGCAGCCAGGAAGCCCGGGCGGCGATCGGCCCTCCTCAACGTCCGACGGTTTCGTTTTTACGAAGACGTCGCTTCTCCCCCACCCCCCTCCACACACACACACACACCCAAAACAAACCACCCTACTCTTGACACACACATTGAACCCACGCCCTTGGTGGCGCGCGTTAGTCTTGATGCCTTTTTTCAGGGCTACCTTAAGACAAGACGCCTCCCTCCCACCTTAAAAGTTTTCACGTCAAGCACAGGAACGGAGGCTGAATAGGAAACAAGCAGGAAACTAACCTCATCTATGCAACTCATCTCCCGCCCCCCCCCTCTCCGCCCCGCTCTCGCGGACACCTTCCTTCCACTAATGTCACCGACGATCTTGCCTTAAAAGGTCTCATTTAATATTTAAATCGCTTCGCATCGATCCGCCAATAAGAAAAAGTTAGGCTCCTGCTTGCTTGCGAAAGTCGCCGAGGTGGTTTTTTTTTTTTTTTTTTTTACATCTGTCAAAACCAGGAGCGAAGAAAAAGGCTTGACAAATCCGGCGCCTGGGTTTAAAAGGCAGCAGCAAAAGCAGCACATATATTTTTGTTATTTTTTTTTTTTTGCCCCCGTAAAAGTTTAAAGGTGATTAGGAAGAATTATTACCCGCTTAACTTTTTCCTTGCCCCCCCACCCCCCTGCTGCAGGAAGTTCTTTTTAATGTGAACATGAAATCTGGTGACATTTTGGGGTATAATTTGTCAGATGTGCCTTATTTAAGAAGTTTTTGCTTCTTTTTCTACTTCAGACCAGACCGATTTTGTAAATACATGTTACTTTATATAGGATGGCGGTTTGTTAAACTGGCAGTCCCAAAGGTGCTTTTTCTCAAGAGGCAACTGGACTGTCTGGTTTTTCTTTGAAGACGTTTCGCTTCTCATCCAGTCAGAGCTGAAGAAGCTTCTTGGATGAGAAGCGAAACGTCTTCAAAGAAAAACCAGAAAGTCCAGATGCCTCTTGAGAAAAAGCACCTTTGGGACAACCATGACCTGGATGACTGAGAATCTCCATAGATGTTAAACTGGCAGGTTTCATCTTATGTTAAATTGTGCTCAGCTTTTTTAAACTGTACTTTTTACCAGTAGATCAAATGAAGTGGTTCCTTAAACACTTGCAAAAGAAGTCAAGGCAAATATATTTCCCTCACTTGACTGATAGATTATGAGAAATTAATTTCAACATCATCTGTGGAGCTATAAAAAATCCATAGTGCACCTCAAAAAACAAGTTTGATTGGCGTTTCTATAAACGTTCCTTCTAGAAGTGGAATGGGACTCATCTGTCTGTTTATTATTCAACAGCAGTTTAATTATTCCTGATATTACTCCTACCACCAGGAATAAATGCTGTAAAAGAAACTGACAGAAAAAGTCAGACAGGACTGCCCTAAAATGAATTTCTATTTTCAGATATTAATATCCAGTTGCTAATCTGCTGCTCAGGCTGATCCCGATTTCAGATTTACTCAAAAATAAAGTCCATTGAATCCAATGAAAGATAACACTTATTCCCATGATTAGTTACTGAGCTTCTGTGGCATTTAATGGTTAAATAAATGTACCAGGAATGCATTTTAAATGAACAGAAATCAAAATAGAATATTTTCATATGGCTTACTTTGTCTCAAAAATTGTTAGTAGTTTCTGGGGTATTTTAGAAGACATTATATACAGGAGTCTCTGTGGTTAAACTGGGAGAAGACTAAAAGACAATGTTATTTGAAAATTCCATTCTGGCTATCGACTATTGAAGCATTTTCTTATCCTATAATATATAAAAAGGAACAAACAGTTAGATATGGTCAAATATTGAATGAAAAGGGTGAACTTAAATCTATAGAAAAATTAGAGGAACAAGGTATAAAGATGAATTGGTTTTCATATGCGCAAATACATTCAAGGTATGATAAAGATTCTAAAACAGAAGGCTTCTATGATAAACTGACTGATTTAAATAAGATTTTGACAGGTACTGATGAAAAGGTGATTAAAAAATTGTATGGATATTTATTAGAAATTAAACTAGAAGAAGAACAAGTTAAAGAAACAATGATTGCTTGGGGGAAGAATTTTGGATATGGGATTGATCCAGAGAAATGGCAAAAATTGTGGTCTCAAAATTATAAAATGATAATGTCAACAGCATATAAAGAAAATTTGTATAAGATGTTTTACAGGTGGCATTCCCCCCACCCCCAAGAATAGCAAGAATGTTCAAGAACAAATCTGAAAAATGTTGGAAATGTCATCAGATACCTGGCTCATATTACCATATGTGGTGGACTTGTGCGGATGCTAAAAAATATTGGTCTAAAATCCACACGTGGTTGGAAAAAACGACAAAAAAGCATATAGATTTGAAACCAGAGATATTTTTATTGGGAATTTTACCTGAAATATATAGTTAAGAATTGAAATACCTGATTGTAAATGTATTAACAGTGGCTAGGATTGTATTTGCTAAAAATTGGAAAAATGAGAAAATACCATCACCATCAGAGGAAATCATTAAGAAAATATTGGAATGTGCTGAAATGAGTAGACTGACATTTGAAATCAGAGAACAAGATGATAAACAATTTTATAAAATTGGGGATCTATTCTATCAATGGTTAGACAATAAAACATGGTAATGAAATATGTAGTTTCTTAGAAAATAATAAATATATAAAGAGGTATTCTTTTCTTATTATATCTACAAAATGATTGTAGGATAGATTTGAGATGCTAATATAAACTGTCATGAACCAATTTAAGTTAAATATGATTATTTTTTAATACTTGATTGAAAATATGAGAATATGTACAATGTAATTGTAATTGAAGACTATGAAATGGAAGCACAAAACAATTTGTAAGCCAACTGGCACACTATATGTATATATGGGGAAGATGGCTTGATGTTTTTATGTTTTGTTTGTCTATGTTCATTTTAAAAACCAGTAAAAATTAAAAAAAAATGTTAGTAGTTTCTAATAACAGTGACTAGGCAACAAAATGTGTAAGATTGGAAAGATAGAAAATTGCCATTTTATTTCTAGTAGAAGTCAACGGGCTTTAAATGATACTCAAAGCAATCTTAAGAGAAAATTGAAAGCATTCAAGTATAATTGAATGGACTGACAAGTTAAACATAAAGTTTAAGGAACAAAAAAAGATGGATTATACAATCTAAAGAGAAACCCTAGCAGCTACTACCTAAGTATTGTGAGATAGGCATACAGGGACTTTTGCTTAAGTGTTTAAAATATGCTTAAAATACATCCAAATATCACAAGACCTGAATCATTATAAGATTCAATTTAAATAAACTACTGTTTTGGAGTATATGGACAATAGTTTATAACAAGAAAGAATCCAAAGGATGGATTTTATATATCCAAATTTTAAAAAAAGTTTGAGGGCTACCCTAAGAGTCTAAATGCAAAAAATGAGAACATAATTCAAAATAGATTATCTCAATTAGAAAGGCTTAATTTTAATTTATACATTGTTACCAGTGAATAAATGCAGACTGAAATAGATTTCATGTAGTAAGCATATAAACTATTCCTCATATGACATTTTTTAAGGCAGCTTGTTCCATGGTTTCCCTACACAACATTATGAATCTCTATGTTTTATCACATGTTCAGAAATTCTAGCTGATAGAGGCAATCCACATGGCAAACAAGTCTACACAATAAAGCCAATGTGTGACCAGCCACTGTGTAAAGCAGCATTCACATATTACAAAATGTAGACTGCAACATATTCATGTCCAATTTAAGTTACAGTGTTTTGCCACTTATGTAGATTCAAATGTTTGGAGTTAAGTTACTGCATATATGAACTATCCTTTCAGATAATTCACTGTCTTTTATACAGTGAGTTAAAACTATTAAGATGTCACTCAAATCACAGGCAATTGTGTAATGGCTTAAGCTTAACAAATATTGAATGCCAAGGTCCATTACCAAACTCTGAAGTCTTATGGGATACATTAGCAGTGAGATGCCAACTACAGTTAGCACTATTCTGCCAGCAAAGTAGCTGAAGAGAATGAGAGAAGGAATCCGTCTGAAAAAAAACAGAATCAAAAACTATTCAAGCATTTCTGCCAGCTACTACTGGAAAGAATTAGTCTCATTATTTAGATGAATAGCATATATTACAAGTATACAAGACTCTATTTCTATTTCAACTGACTTGTAATCAGGTGTATTGAATGCAATATTACAATTATAAATCATAGTTTACAAGCTACTTTCACACATCATGGTAATTCA